CAGCCTTAAATTCAAAATTTTTCGACTCACAAATATGTAGCTGTGAGTTCAGCTCATAAAAATTGGTTCCCCTTAAAGAAAAATTTTACTAAACATTAGTAAACTTGTATGGTACTTTGTGTCCTACTGAATTATCACCAGCAGAATTATCAGAGAATTTAGAAATATTAAAGTATAGGCCTTGGATTCTTTTAATTTAGGGTAAAAGTTATTTACTATTTACTTCTTGTCCACCACCTTAGATTGGGATAACATCAGACACTGAGGATGTAACTTGTCACTTCAAGCAAAGAACAGCTTAGACTGTGGGCAGTCTTACTTTTCCTCTCCCTACTCCTGACTACTTGGCTCTAATCACCATGCAATTGCATCCACAGGAATTATGAAAACTTGTCTTATCTCAGTCTGGAGGGAAAAGTGGGACTGCTTGCCATCTTATAAAAACCAAACAATTCTAATGCACTTCCCACTTCACTCTCCCAGGGATATTGATTTAATAACCAAATTTTCACCTGGCCGAATTGACTGGTCAAATCAAACACCAAACCGTGACATTTTGATGGTCAATAACCTGTCTGTTTGAAGAAGGCATTCTAACGCACATCTATGTAGCCTGAGTAGTGGCCCTGTATTAGAGGGATTGTAGCAAGGGGAGTTGGGGATTAAGGGCGGTTCAAACAGACTAGCATTCTTGACACCTATTGTAGTTTAAATTTCAAAATTGTCTGGGCTTGCATWTACAGCCAACTCCTGATGGGATACCTTGATGTAATTACCTTAATTCTGAAGCCACAGCACCGGGGCTAAATGCCTCCTGTGGAGTCATTACATATCTGACAGTCCTCCGATTTGCTGGAGTCTGCTGCTCTCGACTACTCTTTTTGAACTTAAAAAAAGATTTTAAATCAAGGTTGGATCCAGGATTCTGGGTGAGTGGGAATGGGGTTTATTTTACAGACTACATTAAATAAACATTTTATGAACATTCAATAATCATTTTATGAAAATTAGGCATTATTAGCCATTTTGAGTTTGAGGAAAAAACTGGATCGAGTTGGCATTGCAGTGTATTGTGGGGCTGTTTTATGGGAAAAATTTCCAAGATGGACATTTAGCTCATTCAGTTTTATTAGTAGAGTGTGTATATATAGCTATTCATATCAGGTGAAGAGTCATATTTGTTGAAACTCTCATATTAAACCATTATTATTATTATTATTATCATTATCATTATCATTATCTGTTAAAAAAATATGCCAGTTATCAATCCCCACTGGTCAAGCAGCGTGCATAGCGGCGCTTTGGGCGTGTGGGTGAAGAAAGTGAAGGGGATTGCTACTGGTCCACCCATTCACCAATTAGTATATGTAATAGGACTCCATGCTGTCCAATTAAGAAATAATTGGACGAGAAAAATTCCGAGGACTGCCAAAATTGGATGAGGCCGTAGGCCGAGTCCAATTTGGCAGTCAGAGGAATTTTTCGAGTCTAATCATTTCTTAATTGGACAGCATGAAATCCCATTACCTATTAATTATATAGCTGCCTAATTAATCCCATATCAACAAGACCTGTCCAAWTAAGAAAATAATTGGACAGTTACCTATATGGGATTAATGAGAAGCTGTATAATTAGGTGTGTTATAGGGATGTTTCCAGAAATTTGCAACAGAGTGTCTGAAATGAAAGAGGTGATGATATAGTGACATCATAAGGGATGATCCTGATCTGACTTATTGAATTTGTTCTTAGATTTATTTTTAGATTTGATCTTAGACAATTTAATCTTGAGGCAGACTAAAGATCAAGATGTATGTAGTAATGAAATCTAAGCCAGCTTGGGAGGCGTCTGGTGCACCTAGTGTAGGGACACCCCCAATCTCGTACCCAGAGCCTGTGTTTCTTCTGGCCTGTGGCGAAGAATGAGGGCTCTGGCATAATCCATTTTTTGGCGCATGCGCAATTTTCCGGAAGTGAAATAAAATTAATAAAAATCATGCTTTCAAACAAAGTTCTGTGTTTACTTCCAAACAAAATAAAAATTAGAGATCGGGAACATTAAAAAATAATTTTGGCAAGTCTTTGAACACAACATGTGCTCTTATACCACAGGTCCAAGAAATCCTGGTCTCAAAAAATGGATTATGCCAGAGCCCTCTGGGTACAAGATTGGGACACCCCCCTGGATCCCACCCCTGAGTTATAATTTTCTCTTCTTGTACTTTATCCCTCCTCTGGCATGACACCCCTTGATTACTGTCCTTAATATTCTCTTGGTATTATTGGTCAGCATTGATGGTTTGCATGTGCTCCCAAGAGAGTCAAAAGACAAAAACATGGCAGCCATCTCGGTGCGGTTCAATTGAATCTAATGGGAAATCTTTTGTTAAATACCATACCACCAACATGCACGTTTCGCAGATGAATTCCTAAAAACTGTTTATGTCTTCTGTTTTCTAGCTACCACAACCTCTWCTTGAGTAGAGAGAGGTACAGACAAATGACCACAATACACTGCAAATAATCACAGATTGAAATAAAAATTGAACAATAAATACTAATCTACCTTGTCCYTTATCCAGGAGAGCAGTCGATTGGTCCTCGTTGCCTTCTTTGCTGGTGGTTGCTGTAAACGAACAGGATCAGTTCACGTGTGAGGAAGAACGAAAAGAAAAGAAGAAGGACGATCAGTAAAAGAATTATTTGGCTATCATTAAAAATTGGCTCCTTAATGACTTACCTCTGATGTTTCCCCTTCATCGAAATGCTTTCTTTTTCTAAAGAAATTCATTTTAGGAGTGAAAAGCCAGCGATCAAATACCGTGATTCAAAGCCTAAGGGACTGTACGACAAGATGACGGATGAGTGTCATGACGGATCGAAATTCCCGCTAACAAAATACTTGTATTTGATTGGTGGAGCCATACAAAACATAGGGAACCCAAAACAAAATCAGGACCAAAATCAGGGTTGCGAGTGTAGCTAGATTATAAACTCATTCATTAATTCAGTCAGTCATTCTGCACAGTCAGTCAGTCACCAAGCGATTTAGTAAGTTTAATTAAAGATAGTAAAATAATCAGTTTTATTTCGTGCTCTCTCTTTTCTTTCTTTCTTTCATTTATTTTCTTACTTTCTTTCTTTCATTTCCTTCCATGCGCCTAATCCTTCATTTGTTCCTCAGTAAATTCATAAACAAGCCAGTTAATCAATGCAGCTTATTATTTATTGAAGAAAAAACGGATAAAATTAAAACAAAATCTTCGTCGTAGTACATAAGTTTTGCCTTTATATTTAATTAAACTTAGAGTACAAGGCCGGACTTGGTTGTCTTTGGGTTTCCTGTGTTGGATCTAGATGGTATGTGGTCAGATTTCCAAGAAGTGGCAGTCTTCAAACGCAATAAGAGAAGCATTTGACTCGCTTTAAAATGGATAACTCCGAATTGCAGGCCACTGCAAAGGTGTCCAAAAGTAACGAAAGTTCAATTAGAAGCACGAAGAAAAAGAAGAAGAAGAAGAAAAAGGGATTTCGAAATAAAGACACGGATGATTCTTCCATCCCTGCTGAAGAACAGCCAGCAGATGGAGGAAGTGATACTTGTGTCACCGAGTCTTTATTCAAGGCATCGACTTCTAMGTTGGAAGAAGTGGAGGCTTTAAAGGTAACCAAAGTATCAGATGAGACAGAAAAAAGTTCTAGATCTGAAGATGTAGAACGGAAAATAAACCAGCAAGCGGARACGGGTTTCAAGGATTCCGAAAATAGTCAGAACGACAAGCAAAAGACCGGAGGCGAAGATGACAGGTCAAGTCTTTCGACATTTCTAGATCAGCCAGAAGAAAAACCAAATGCAAACGGCTTAAGAAAGAAGAAGAAAAAGAAGAAATCAAAAGGAAAGAAAGGAGTTTTGGTATCTCATGTCTTATCGGAACCTCAAGATGATCCAGGCAAAGACAAAGACCTCGAAGAGGATAATGATGGCGAAGACTCGAAAGGCGGAAGTCCGAGCGAAGAGGAAGCTGCTGAAGATCAGCCAGAAGAAAAACCACCAAGTCCAAACAGCTCAAGAAAGAAAAAGAAAAAAAAAAAATCAAAAGAAAAGAAAGGATTTCTGGTATCTCATGTCTTATCAGAACCTCAAGACGACTCAGACAAAGACAAAGACCACGAAGAGAATAATGGCGAAGACTCAAAAGGAAGTCCGAGCGAAGAGGAAGCTTCTGAAGAGGAGAAATTTAAAGCGTTCATTCACGACAAAGAAAAGGAACCAAATGACCTTCAAAAGTTTACTAAAGAAGCTTTTCTACTTTCAACACCTGAAAAGGAAAGGTACGTAAAGTTTCCCTAAATCTTAAAACAGATTTGTAGTTGGTTTATATGGGTTTATAAGTTTGCCGGGGGCTCAGATAGTCATCTCGATAAACCGGAAGAAACAAGAAATACTGCTTCCAGTTTCCACGCAGTTTTCACGCAGTTTCCACGCAGCACGATATGATCACTTCATTTGATAGTGCACTATACCCGCAGAGTACGTACCCTTCGTGCTTTTGTAAAGTGGGAAAGTGATTTTGAACGGGCATGGAAGGGGAGGGGAGGGACGGGGTAAGGGATAAAATGCTACTTTTTCAAAGCCCACACACCATAGAAATTTATACCTGCTTCCCTAGTGCGTGTTGCTGATACTAAACCACAGGGAGCCCAAAAGTGCTAGATAAAAAAATATGAAAAGACCAGGAGTGTCTTGAAAAAATATATATATATTACACTGTGTTATATATATATATATTACACTGTGTTTTTGCTTTATTTTACTTTTCAACAGTCCCTTCCACGTTTTTGTTTTGTTTTGTTTTTGTCAAGTTTTGATATGAGCAAGTTAGCAAAAATCGATCAACACCATTGGACAGTAGAGGAGTACCTCAAATTTAGCATATTTGCCAAGTTAGAGGGTGATAGGCTGGAAATGGCGAAAATATAGGTCCGTAAAGTTGCGACATTTGCAGACGTTTGTACGGGTGGGGGTAAAGTTTGTGCCCCCACCACACAAACGTCTGCAAAATTTCGTGACTTTGCATAGCTATATCTTCGCCTGTTTCCAATACAACACTATCAAATTTGTTGGTGAATTTATTAATTTATAGGTGGTTTTTCCCGCATTATCAATGTTTTTTTGCTAACTCGTCCATGTAAAAAAGTTGGTTAATTGTATTATTTAGCACACTTTTATAACCTCGACCCTTTTTTTCAATCAATGGTATTTTGTCGAATTTATTTCATTTTCGTCTAGGACTTTCATCTTAAAATTGAGCTCCCTGTGGCCTATGTAGAAAGCAGAAGTAAAACAAACGGCTCTGGTTTACTAGGATGTTACTTTCTTCATACCAAAGACTCTTACAGCGAAATCGTGTAGTACATCTACATTTATTTAAGTCCATCAAAAGGGGTACCCATCACAGACAGACTGTAACTAAAACCCTTACTTTTTTGTAATCGTTTAGAAACAATTTTCTTCAAATTGTCACTCTTATTTATGGCGTGGGTCTCCAAGCTCTTCGAACGATTTTCATGGATGTTCATCCCACGTGGTCAAACAAGCCTGCTGATGCAAAATCTCTTGTTAAGGGGTCCATGAAACTTAAAGGACATGAATTGGCTTCCTTCAATAAAGGTGACATCGACAAATGGGATGTTTCACTCATCACAACCGTACTCCTGTATTCCAAGAAATGCAAAGATGAAATCTCCAAGAGACCAGGGTTTGAAGATGCTATTCGCAGCATTAAAGACCACAAAAATCGTTTGATAAGCCATATTAGCTCGGAAAAAATGCCAGATGCAGAGTTCCAAACTTACTGGCCAGTAATTTCCAACGACATTGTAACTATCGGAGGCAAGTCGGAAGATATTGAAGACATAAGTAAAGGTAAACATTCGGCAGTTTAAAGTCAAATTACTTATTAGTAGATGATTCTATATAAGTACGTTTTATAAGTGTCATTCGACATTTATAGGCTTTTGAATTTTCAAATTGTACGGAAAAAAAATCTTAGAAGTCAGTAGAGCTTGCGCCCCATTTCGGTTAAGTAGGTGTTGAACTTGGTGCTAGGTAGTGCTAATGTGTTGCTGGCTTTCCCAAAAGGAAACGCCCAAGTGTTAGCTCTCCACTTGCGTCACCCTACCTTTATAAAATTCCATAAGTTATTCCTGTCGTTCTATAGATCAGTCTTCTCTTTTATAGTTGACAATACTGGTAGGCGTTTACTGTATATTTGTTTTCCTAGTTCTTAGTTCATTACTCTCAACTTGTCGTGAAATTATTTGTTTTTCTGAAAAGTATTTGCAGCAATATTGGTGTCAACTACCTTTTTAAAAGTGACCAGGTTAAAATGTTATCATATTAATTGATAGAAATTTAATGTTCATTTTATTCTATTAATTTTTGCTCGTTATTCGTTTGGTATAGGCGATGTTTTGGAAACTGGCAAGTTTTATCGTGATCTATTTCTAGAAGAGATTAGTAGCCGAGATGCTCTTTATAGCAAGATGTCAGTCATGGACAAAAAACTGGACAACCTGCTTGCAGACAAATACCTCGGTTCATCCAAGGCTGACTCTTCTCCGAGTCTTAAAGATTTGAGTGGCCCTAAATGGGATGAATGGCTCAGGTTTTGTGATAGAGTGTCTAATTTTGATTACCATCAAAACAATTACATTCTGATCACTGATGCCATGTCTCGTGAAAACGTACAGCATTTTTCTCCCCTTCGAAGTGTGCCATGGAAAGTTGTCCTGGATTTTGACCCATGTTCCGAGGAAAAGGGCTTATACCATGATTTTATCAACAAAGAAGGAAAGATCAGCCTTATCAACATGATAACCCCTGATGAAATACGCCGCCAACATACCACCAACCTTGCCAGACACCTGGACAGCCATAAGACGCAATGGGTGTTCGTAAATGGTCGAGAGAAAGACAAAATTGGATGTCAACAGACGTTGGAGGATTGGAAAACTTCGTCCGTTAAGCAATTAACGAAGTTTTTTATTTGTTACTCTGACCCTGATAAAAGTGACAAGCACAAACCCATTGTTTGCCTTGTTTTGCCATTTCGAAAAGAAACTGTTCCGTACCTTACGATTACCATGGAGAGACTCACGGAAAATTTTGACGAATTCAACATCAACTTCGTTGGCACTCAGCAAGACCAGTGTGACATCCTCAGGAAGTTTAATATTCAAATAACTAAACTTAATCCAAGCCTTCTGAGCCTAGGAATGTCAGAGTTATTTCATGAGTCTTCGGTCACAGGATACCGTATGCCAACCTGCCAAGCACAGATGCCAGTGAGGTTAAAGCAACAGGAGTACCTTTATTTAAAAGAATACATGACTGTATTATACGATGGTTGTGAGGACCTTCCAAGCGTCAAGGGAGACATCGAAGAAGAGAACAAATTGGAGAAGATGCTCAATGAACATAGAGAGTCTTTCATGTCTGGCAACTGGATTTCATTCATAAGTCTTTTCGACAACCATGACGCTCGGCGAGAGATAGGGAATGCAGTTCGAACTCATATTCAGCGGCTTTTAGACCTAGGACCGACTCATTCAACTATTGTAGAATTATGCCACTCACCAGGAACAGGTGGCTCTACGATTGCTCGTCGGGTTCTATGGGATCTGCATAAGTTCTTTCCCTGTGCCATTGCCAATATGGAAGGTCTCAACAGTGACTTTGACGATGATTTAGTTTGGATTAATGGACTTGCAGATCGTATCAATGATTTGCACGATTTATGTCGCACGATTCCCTTGGTACTCCTGGATGGAAAACATGCAAGAATGGAAGCCATAAGTAATAAGCTTGTAAGAATATTAAACAACCGGGGACTGAGAGTAGTACTTCTGAGATGTTTACACCGATCAAAAGGAAGCGACATTGAATCCACGTCCGAAGCTTCAAACGTCCATGCCAGATTTTCTGTTAACGTGAAGCTAGAGGAGTCAAGGGCTGATCTCAACGAGTTTGAGGCAAAGTACAAAGACTTCATCGAGGACTTCACGAAGAACAAGACCACATCAAGTCTTTGTAGAGTGTTTCATTTTCCACTTATTGCAATGCTTCAAGGATTAGAAGGGTTTGGTAAAAAGCTAGAGCATATAGTTTACGACACCTTTGACGAAATGACCAGCTTCGAGAAGGAAATTGCAGTTTTGGTTGCTTTCATTCAGAAGTACGCAGCTCAGGCAACGCCAGCTTCGCTTTTATATAAAGCATTTAAACCGCATTTTGGTCATGAATGTGATACCAACAAAGGAACAACATATGACGATATTAACCAGCCCATTACAGAACAGTTGCTCAACTTGATGGTACCTACAAAGCCAGCATCGGTTCGTCGTGGAGGAAGCCGCTCTAATGTTAGCTCTTTCCATGAGAGCTATACACTTCAACATCCCCTTGTCGCAGACTTGGTGCTCAAGAAAGTCTATATGGACCAAAAGCGTAATATTATTGCTTTAACGCGCGAGTTTCTTGAATTCCCAATATTCCAAGATGAGCGTTTCTTTTCTCTCATTAATGATATATTCATTAGAAATCGAAGTTCAGCAGCGAACGCAAGGTTTTCAATTTTGTTTGAAGAGCTTAAGTCAGTGAGCTCTAGTATTGCTGCACAGATCTTTTGCGAGGTCGCAGAGAAAGCCAAAGATGCCACTCTTTACGGACACGCGGCTCGATTTCATACGAAGAAAAACCCGCAATCATTTTCAACCGCTAAAGAATTGATTGCCAAGGCATTTCAGTGCAAAAATGCAAAACACAAAATCAGGTCTATCTATGACATGAAGGGAGGAATTCTTCAAAATGAGTTGAAGTTCTTGGCGAACACCCACAAAATTGACTCATTGCCCTCTTTACAGAAATTGGCTGATGAAGCTTTGCAGTCGTACAAGAAAGCAAGAAACTTTCCGCCGAGTTTTCCTAATCCTTTATTAGGGGAAGTAAAGGTATGGATTGCGTGCATCGAATGGATTACAAAGTACCAGTGTAATGGCGACTCTGATGAGACAATAAAGTTTCTCAACTCAGCTAATGCACCTCCGTTTTTTAGTACATGTGTTAGCGATTCATTCTATCTTTTGGATATCGTTGATGGTATAGTCCAGTCGGCAGTTACCCTACCAGATCCAGAAGAAACACAGAGGCAAGCAAATACCCTAAGGGTTTCTTTGATGCGCACATTTAATAAAGGAAGACGAGCACCTGTTGGCAGAAAAGATAAGGATGATGTTATTCAGGCGTGCATTGCACTATGTTCTACAGAAAATTTCCCAAAGTCCTCCCATACAGAGCTAAAGCGCTTACAGGCACACTATATCATCAGCTGCGTGGACGGCCAAATCGAGAACATTAAAAAGGAACATTTAGAGTTCTTAGTAAAGCTGTTGGAAAGTTTGGTGCTAGTGGAAAATGAAGGCAGTTCAATGGCATACCATCTGATGAAGGTTTGTTTGCTGATCACAGAACCCAGGCATTATTCTTTGGAAAAAGGTCTACGAGTAGCAGAAAAATGGATTCAGGAATCAAGCTACAACCCTCTTCCCTACTTTTACCAAATGATGATTTACTTCCTTAAAATACTAGATGGGAATCATCTTTTGTACAGGGACAGCTATCACAAAGCTATCAACAAATGCCAAGAGAATTCACAGCATCACTGCAGAGGTGCGATGTCTACTCACTTCTTGAAAAGAAAGGGAAAGGGGATGAATCGTTTAATGACCAAGAGTGCCTTATTAAGTGGAGAAGCCGAATATCCTCGAAATGTCAAAGATTTCTGGACGATCCACAGCCGCAAGAAACTTCTGGAGTGTAGAGGAAGAATCAGAATTCGACAAAAGTCTGGTCGAAGAAAGCAAGTTTACATTGAGCTCGCCCAAGGCAACATCGAACTATATGTTGGCAAAAATGCTGACATTGGACAGGTTGAACGAGATTTTTCCCAAGGAAGCATAGTTTACTTTGTCGTTAGTTTTAACTTACAAGGTCCAGTTGCAAATGGCATTACTTTTACGCCTTCAACTGAAGGTGATTAGGTCAAGAACTTTTAACGCCAACCCGTTAAACTGGATCACAAGTGTGGATTCTAATTCAGACTTGGTAAGAGTAAAAAACTTCGCAAATAGAGTTTTAGGAACTGTTCGAACTCATCTATTGATAGTGTCACTGATGCAAAGGATTTCTGGAAAATACTTTAAAAAGTTGTGGACCTGGTCTCTAGATCTAGAATACACTTCAATAGGATATCCATACACAAGACATTAAACACTTTGCAATAGTGGTGAAATGCCAAACTAAAGAACTCTGTATAGTGTTAGAATTTAAATCATATGGCTTCCGTGCTTTCTCAGTCTGTGCACCAAGACTATGGAACGCTATACCTATTCATATTAGACAGTCAGTGACAATCACTATCTTTAAGAAACAACTAAAGACTTTTTTATATAAAGAAGCTTTCTGCTGATTCCTTTGAATCCTCGCACTGATTTTTTATATCATTAAATTATTGCTATATCGTTGATTAACAGTAATTTATGAGCCCTTCCTGGATTCGCTTGGATAACTGCGGCATGGAGGTTTCTGAGTCGAGTAAACTCGATTCGCGTTGTCCAGGCTAGTTAGGGAAGGGTCTATGTATCTATTATCTGATATTATAACTAGACAATATATTTTTAGTCTTGATTCTTTATGATAGTATTATGTCTATAAGCTAAAAGAAAAATTGAATAAATAATTAAGTTTAGATTARGATACGGTWRTAYGCCATAGTTACTCATGTTGGATAGTCAGAGAYAATTGCTATCTCTAATATAAGAAATAAGGGCATCTAATATTTAATGACGTTTTTTCTTCCGATTTTTAGATTTTATGACTGAGTCTTAACATTACTAGGTTATCTTTTTTATTATTATTAGTAATAGTACTAGTCTAAATGTAAAGCGCTTTTGAGCTATGAGTAAAAAGACTAGAAATCAACTTTTTTACTGCTTGCATAGCAAAATAAAGTAAAGCGAGACGTTTCGTGGCGTTTCCTCATGTTAAGCATCACTCTGCTCAGTGAATTGATCGTGTCGAAAGCTTGATCAATCTATCTTTGATCGACTAGTTGGATTTGACTAAAACAATTAGTCCTCTCGCCCTCCTGCATGGCCTATGAGTCAATAGCCCATCATTTACCTGGCCTGCTATTGACTCAAAGCCCATTCGGGCTGGAGGCGCCTAGTTAGAGCTGAGACTGGTAAAAGGATGCTAGCTGATGCTGAAAGTTTTGTTACAATGTTTTGTACTAAGCCCAAAATGCATTATGGGCGATGTTAGTGCGATCAGCGAAAGSTCACATCAATATGGAATTTCCACAAACCTTTTCTGCACGTTTTTCAGGCTTATTTTTTTGTTTTGACATTATTTACATATGAGTTGTTTTACAAATGCTTATATAAACTCTCCACTTGGTTAACTACTTTCTCAGAATGTTCTCTCTATGTTGTCACGTTTTTCATTTTTAAGTTATTTAGGCCCCATCCCTACTTGTTTCTCTCAAAAGCTATTCTTCTCTTTTTTTTCCGTGCTTCCATATTCTAGGTTTTTTTTAACAAGTAGTTTTGAATAATGTCTTATA